TTTCATACCAAGATCAGTGTCGACCAATTTTTGTACAGCGCTGTAGCCTCCTGTGTCACTGTGTCTCTGGCACAAAAATAAACAGCAGAGTCTTCAGTCTTCAGGCTGTTCATCTGGAGATACACCTGCTTCATGCTGTCATCTCTGGAGATGGTGATCCAAGCCATCCAGTAGCCATTTATGTCTAAACCAGAGGCTGTACATGTCAGTTTGTGGGCATCTCTAGGCTTTTTAACCACTGGTCCAGACTCAGTCAGTGTCTGACTCTGAACACCTGTGGAGACAAAGTAACATTAGAGTTAATAGCTAGACTCAAAACCTCACATAATAACAATATGAAGGTTTTCTTCTGACAATATTAAAGTTTCTACCGGTCAGGCCTATTATCATCAGTAGAAACACAGTAGTAAATGTCATGATGAACTCAGTATGATGTGTCTCTGTTCCTCAGTCTAGTCAGTGTGCCTTTCATCCACTCTGCAGTGAGATAAGTAGTGATGAAAGAGCTCAGAGTTTTGCATTGACTCCTCCTCACTGGGTGGGAAGATCACATACAGTCCATGGATTACTTCACTACTCAAGAGGCTCTGTATTGTACGTCTAGATGATTGTTAAGCGTTTAAATTACTTCATAATATGATTAAATGTTTATCATGTTTATCATGTAGGGTATTTTGACGAAGTACTCCTTTAGAATGTGAATTCTGGACATACTGGATTCATAGTGATGCTGACTACCAAATAAACACCACGTTGTGCTAACAACTATGCAAATATACTGTACTTCATTGTGTATGATTGTTATAAACTGCATCAACCTGTATTACTAACTGAAATACAAAATTGAGTGAAAATTATTATAATTTTTTTGTCATTTAGCAGACGCTCTTATCCAGAGCGACTTATAGGAGCAATTAGGGTTAAGTGCCTTGCTCAAGGGCACATCGACAGATTTTTCACCTAGTCGGCTCAGGGCTTAGAACCAGCGACCTTTCGGTTACTGGCACAACGCTCTTAACCACTAAGCTACCTGCCGCCCCGTCAATGTCTCTTGGAATGTCACAGAATATAGTAATCTAAATGTTGGTGTCTCTCAAGGATCTATACTCAGCTCATTACATATTTATATTTGGATTATTGAGTTTACTTCATATTCTTATCCAAATGGCAGATATTCTTTTAGATTGATTTGAGAGTATAACATGCGTATGACATGGCATATGTTAACCAATGTGTATTGTTGATGCCATGAGTGGAACATAGAATCATAGGGCCAGTTTCCCAGACACAGATTAAGCCTTGACTAAAAAGCACTTTTAAACTTTTAAAAACACCTTTAATTGAGCTTCTCTATTTAGAATGCTTTTTAGTCCAGGACTAGGCTTAATCTGTGTCTGAGAAACCACATACCAAGATCAGTGTCCACCAGTTTGGGGTTATTTGCTATTGCCAACTGACTTTGAATGGCTGTAAGGTTTTCAGTTAAAGTTTCATGAGGATATTTATACAGTAATCGTAACAGGTTAACAGGCGTAATTTAAGATGTTCAAGTTATCATGTATACTGAACAAAAATATAAATGCAACATTCAACAATTTCATTTTATTCAGTTACAGTTCATATAAGGAAATCAGTCAGCTGAAATAAATGAGACCCTAATCTACAGATATGCAACTGCTGGTCACAGATACTTTTTAAAATATGGGCCTCACAATGGGCATTAGGATCTCGTCATGGTATCTCTGTGCATCTAAATTGCTATCTATAAAATGCAAATGTTTTCGTTGTCCGTAGCTTATGCCCATACCATCCCATAACCCCACCGCCACAATGTGGCATTTTGTTCACAACATTGACATCAGCAAACCGCTCGCCCACAAAATGCCATACACGTGGTCTGCGGTTATGATGCCGGTTGGACGTACCGCTAAATTCTCTAAAACGACGTTGGAGGTGGCTTATGGTAGAGAAATGAAAATTAAATTATCTAGCAACAGCTCTGGTGGACATTCCTGCAGTCACTATGCCAATTGCATGCTCCCTCAATACTTGATACATCTGTGGCATTGTATTGTGTGACAAAATTGCACATTTTGAAGTGGCCATTTATTGTCCCCAGCACAAGGTGCACCTGTGTAATGTTCATGCTGTTTAATCAGCTTCTTGATATGCCACACCTGTCAGGTGGATAAATTATATTTTTGTTCAGTGTATATTTGGTTTATAATTAAGAGTATGATATGTCTACTCTCTCCTAGTGTTGGTGGGGCCATGGGATTGATGTCGACAGAGACTGGAGTTCAGAATTGTCTAAATTAAAATAAGTGCCTGATACATTTTTGTACGGTGCTGCAGTCTCGTGTCACTCTGGCTGTTGAGAACAATAATAAACAACGGAGTCGTCAGTCTTCAAGCTTTCCCAATCTAAGTACAGCTTGTTTTTGGAGCTGTATTTGGTGATGGTGAACTGGCCCTGGACAGACTGAGCAAATATAGTGCTAGTGTCAATGCTCTCAATCCACTCAAGTCCTTTCCCTGGTTTCTGAAGGATCCAGTGCATGTTGTAGCTACCCATAGAGAAACCAGACACTGTACAGGACAGTGTTACTGACTCTCAAGGTCTCTTCACCACTGGCTCAGAGGAGGTGCGTGACTACCCCTGAGAGTTTAGATGAATGTGACCCCCCAGCCAAGTAGCACAGCTCCTCTCGTGTCTTCTACACTGGACAGAAATAACTCCAGTAACCCACCTGAGATGAGAGCCAGGAGGAAACACACATTCTAGAACTCTCATTGTGGGACGGTTCTAGAATTCTGAAAAAGGAGGCACATAGACTGGGACTACTTGTCGTGACTGAGGTAGATGGTCTGTGGAGCGCAGTTATATCAGACTACTGAAATGGGAGGAGACCTTGGGTATACATGAACAGACACACATTAGCATCTTCATGGTGTTAAATGTCTTTCCCCTTAGCTTTAATGGTCTATATACTACATATCTTGGCACTGTTGAGAAATGTTTGTTGAAGAATTAAGTTTGACCACTTATTGTGCCAATGTATCAATAAGAAGTTGTATTTTATAGGGCAGTTCTTCGATTGATATTGTTATATTCTATTGAATCACTGAGGGCCTTACAGTGCCTTGGGAAAGTATTCAGACCCATTTACCCAATCCACGTTTTGTTACGTTACAGCCTTATTCTAAAATGTATTAAATTGTCCCCCCCCCCCCCCCCCCCCCCATCATCAATCTACACACAATACCCCATAATGACAAAGCAAAAACAGCTTTTAAGAATTTTTTGCAAATTTATAAATAAAATAACAACTGAAATATCATCACATTTACATAACTATTCAGACCCTTTACTTAGTACTTTGTTGAAGCACCTTTGGCAGTGATTACAGCATTGAGACTTCTTGGGTATGACGCTACAAGCTTGGCACACCTGTATTTGGGGAGTTTCTCCCATTCTTCTCTGCAGATCATCTCAAGCTCTGTCAAGTTGGATGGGGAGCGATGCTGCACATCTATTTTCAGGTCTCTCCAGAGATGTTCGATCGGGCTCTGGCTGGGCCACTCAAGGACATTCAGAGACTTGTCCCGAAGCCACTCCTACGTTGTCTTGGCTGTGTGCATAGGGTCGTTGTCCTGTTGGAAGGTAAACTTTAGCCCCAGTCTGAGGTCCTGAGCACTCTGGAGAGGTTTTTATCAATGCCCTCTCCGTACTTTGCTTCGTTAATCTTTGCCTTGATCCTGACTAGTCGCCCAGTCCCTGCCGCTGAAAAACATCCCCACAGCATAATGCTGTCACCACCATGCTTCACCGTAGGGATGGTGCCAGGTTTCCTCCAGTCGTGACAGTTGGCATTCAGGCCAAATAATTCAATCTTGATTTTATCATGGTCTGAGTGTCTTTAGGTGCCTTTTTGCAAACTCCAAGCTGGCTGTCATGTGCCTTTTGCTGAGGAGTGGACTCTACCATAAAGGCCGGATTGGTGGAGTGCTGCAGAGATGGTGTCCTTCTGGAAGGTTCTCCCATCTCCACAGAGGAACTCTAGAGCTCTGTCAGAGTGACCATCAGGTTCTTGGCCACCTCCCTGACCAAGGCCCTTCTCCCCTGATTGCTCAGTTTGGCCAGGCGTTCAGCTCTAGGAAGAGTCTTGGTGGTTCCAAACATCTTCCATTTAAGAATGATGGAGGCCTCTGTGTTCTTGGGGACCTTCAATGCTGCAGAAATTTGCCTCGACACAATCCTGTCTCGGAGGTCTACGGACAATTTGTTCGACCTCATGGCTTGGTTTTTGCTTTTGCTCTGACATGCACTGTCAACTATGGGACCTTATATAGACAGGTGTGTGCCTTTCCATATCATGTCCTATCAATGGAATTTACCACAGGTGGACTCCAGTCAAGTTGTAGAAACATCTCAAGGATGATCAATAGAAACAGGTTGCACCTGAGCTCAATTTCGAGTCTCATAGCAAAGGATTTGAATACTTAGATATTTCTGTTTAATAAATGTGCAAACATTTCTAAACACCTGTTTTCGCTTTGTCATTATGTGGTATTGTGTGTAGATTGCTGATGAATGTTTTGTATTTAATCCATTTTAGAATAAGGCTTTAATGTAACAAAATGTGGAAAAAGTAAAGGGGCCTGAATACTTTCCGAATGCACTGTATGTTTCACTTGTGCTTGATTCTCATGCATATTAAGTTTTAGTACAGGTCTGGTGCTGGTTTGTATCACTGTGGTCATCGAGCACAATATTACACAGCTGTGTCTTCAGTCTGCAGACTCTGTCCTGTTAAAGTTACTGTGCTGCTGGAAGTGTTTCTGGTGATGCTGAACTTGTTTTTCAGTTTATCACTGTAATATGTGCTACCATCGTGACAAATTAATCCAATCAACTTCAATGCTTTTCCCAAAATGACATTTACATAACTATTCAGACCCAAGGCTAGGCCTTGCCTTGTCAAGGAGGTGGGTCTTTATGAGGGACTGAAAGACGGTGATGGAGGAAGGGAGTTCCAGAGCCTACTACCAACCCTGTTTAAGGCCCTGCCGCTGAAGCTATGGCACTTGGACCTGGGGATGACAAGGTGGCCAGCTGTGGTGAAAAGAGTAACTCAGCATTACTAATTAGCTGGGCTTTTGAAATAATAATACTTTATTTATTTGTGTATTTTTATCCCCCCAAATGGAGAGAGAATCACAGGATGCAGCTGTCGGCAGCAGCAGCAGAGATGCACGGAACATGGTTTATGTTTGTATTTGGATTTATTATGGATTTATGGATCTCCATTAGCGTCTGCCAAGGCAGCAGCTACTCTTCCTGGGGTCCAGACACATTAAGGCACTACTTAACAAACACAATTAACAAACCAAAAAATAAAATAAAGCAGTACATCATATAACATCAGTACATCACTACATATCTACAACACAACATGTATTATACCACCATACAACAATATTACAATGTGCGTGTGTAGAGTGTGTGTGCAAGCGTTTGTGTGAGTATTTGTGTGTGTTTGCGTCTCTTCACAGTCAATGTTGTTCCATAAAGTGTAGTTTTATCTGGGGGTTTTTATCTGATTTTACTGCTTGCATGAGTTACTTGATGTGGGATAGCGTTCCATGTAGTCATGGCTCTATGTAGTTCTGTGCGTTTCCCAGAGTCTGTTCTGGACTACTATTACTATTACTATTGTCTATTACTATTACTATAACCCTGGCGTTGCAAATGCCATGCTCTACCAACTGAACTAGATCCCTGCTGGCCATTCCCTCCCCTACCCTGGGCCAATTGTGCGCCGCCCCATGGGTCTCCCGGTCGCAGCCAGCTACGACAGAGCCTGGATTCAAACCAGGATCATTGCCTAGTGGCACAGCTAGCACTGCGATGCAGTGCATTAGACCACTGCGCCATTCGGGAGGTGATGGTTGATAAGCCTTAAACTATTATATAGAAAGAAGTTAACTAAATATCGTCTTCCTTTTATATAATGATTACATAATTGTTTAGATATTTGATGGAGTATGTTTGAGTATGTTTGATGGACCAAGAAGTGCAGTACAAATGAACATGGATCGTACTGCAGCACATCATTTCAGTTATTGTATATACAAAACGTACACAAGCCATTCTGAGAGTTTTTTTTACTCATGGGACTAGAGGTTTTAGTACAGGTCTGATGCTGATTTGTATCACTGTGGTCGTCGAGCACAATAATACACAGCTGTGTCTTCAGTCTGTAGGTTCTGTCCTGTTAGAATTGAAATACTGCTGGATGTGTCTCTTCTAAAGCTGAACTTGTTTTTTAGTGCATCCTTTTGGTGAAAACTACCACCACCCCCCAAATATGAAAAAATCCATTCCATTGGGTTTCCCTGCAGGCTGTCGGATCCAGCTGTCGCGTAGCGTTGTCTGTAGAGAATACCCAGAGAAGTTAAAACCCCTAACTCTGCCCCCCATAAAATGTCTTTTGGGAAATTGTCACAAAAATAGAAATCAAAATGTTGGGCCCTTTAAAGGGATCTTACTCACTATTCAATTTTATTTTGGATTATTGATTTTACTTCATATTCTTACCAAAGGCAATTTTTTTGGTTTGTTTTGAGTAAAAACGGTATGACATGGCATAGTAACCCCAATGGGTTTTGTGTGCCATGAGGGGGAAATAAAATTTTGGGGCCATTTTCCCAGCCAGATTAAGCCTTGACTAAAAAGCTTTTTTAAATTTTTAAAAACACTTTAATTGAGCTTTCTTTTAGAATGTTTTTTCCCGGATAGGCTTTTTGTGTCTGAGAAACCCATAAAGATCAGGGCCACCAGTTTGGCGTTTTTTTTGCTATTGCCAATGTTTTTAAGGCTGAAAGGGTTTTTTCAGTTAAATTTTCAGGGATATTATACAGTAATCGAAACGGGTTAACAGGGAAATTTTAAGATTTTCAAGTTATCATGTATCTGAACAAAAAAAAAATGAACTTTCACAATTTCTTTTTATTCGGGTTACTTCATAAGGAAAATCTAGTGAAAATAAATGAGCCCCCTAATCTACAGATATGCAACTGTGGCACAGATATTTTTAAAAATGGGCCCTCCAAGGGCTTAGGATCTCGCTGGTTCTTGTGCATCTAAATTCTTTTAAAAAAAATGCAATGTTTTTGGTCCGTAGCTTATGCCCAACCATCCCAAACCCCACCCCCACAATGTGGCTTTTTTGTTTCAAACATTGACACAGCAAAACCGCTCGCCACAAAATCCCATAACGTGGTCGGTTGAGGTGGTTGGACACCGCAAATTCCCCCAAAACGACTTGGAGGTGGCTATGGAGAGAAATGAAAAAAAAATTTATCTAGAAACACTCTGGGGGAATTCCTGCAGTACTTCCCAAATTGCAGCTCCCAAAATACTTTACTCTGTGGCATTGTATTGTGTGCCAAAATTGAAATTTTTTGAAGGGCCTTTTATTGTCCCCAGCAAAGGTGCACGGTAATTTTCTGGTTTAATCAGTTCTTGATATCCCACCTGTCAGGTGGAAAAAATTTTTTTTGTTCAGTGGATTTTGGGGGTTTATTTAAAGTATGTTTATGTCTATCTTCCTAGTGTTGGGGGGGCCGGGGGATTGATGTCGAAAAGGGTTGGGGATTTTCAAATTGTCAAAATTTAAAAAAGTGCCTAAACTTTTGTACGGTGCTGCAGTCCGGTCATTGGGTTTGGAACAAAAAAAAAACGGAGTCGCATTTCTCAAGCTTTCCCCAATCTAAGTACAGCTTGTTTTTGGAGCTGGTATTTGGTGATGGTTGAAACTGGCCCTGGACAGGGACTGAGCAAATATATTACTAGTTGTCATGCTATCAATCCACTCAGTCCTTTCCCGGTGTTCTGAAGGATCCAGTGCATGTCTGTTGTAGCTACCCATAGAGAAACCAGGACACGTACAGGACCAGTGTTACTGACTCTCAAGGTCTCTTCACCACTGGCTCAGAGGAGGTGCGGTGACTACCCCTTGAGAGTTTAGAGTGAATGTGACCCCCCAGCCAAGTAGCACAGTCCTCTCGGTCTTCTACACTGGACAGAAATAACTCCAGTAACCCCACCTGAGATGAGAGCCAGGAGGAACAGACATCTAGAACTCTCATTGGTGGGACGGTTCTAGAATTCTGAAAAAGGAGGCACATAGACTGGGACTACTTGTCGTGATGAGGTAGATGGTCTGTGGGAGCGCAGTTCTTATATCCGACTACTGAAATGGGAGGAGGACCACCTTGGGTATAACGATTGAACAGACACAACATTAGCATTTCTTCATGTGTGTTAAATGTCTTTCCCCTTAGCTTTAATGGTCTATATACTACATATCTGGCCACTGTTGAGAAATGTTTGTTTGAAGAATTAAGTTTGACATGTTATAGTGACATACTCACTTATTGTGCCAATGTATCAATAAGAAGTTGTATTTTTATAGGGCAGTTCTTCGATTGATATGGTTATATTCTATTGGAATCCAATGAGGGCCATACAGTGCCTTGGGAAAGTATTCAGACCCATTTACCCAATCCACATTTTGTTACGTTACAGCTTATTCTAAATGTATATTTAAATGTCCCGTCCCCCCCCCCCCCCCCCCATCATCAATCTACACACAATACCCCCATAATGACAAAGCAAAAACAGCTTTTAAGAATTTTTTTGCAAATTTTATAAATAAAATAACAACTGGAAATATCATGACATTTACCATAACTCTTCAGACCCTTTACTCAGTACTTTGTTGAAGCACCTTTGGCAGTGATTACAGCATTGAGACTTGGGTATGACGCTACAAGCTTGGCACACCTGTATTTGGGGAGTTTCTCCCATTCTTCTCTGCAGATCATCTCAAGCTCTGTCAAGTTGGATGGGGAGCGATGCTGCACATCTATTTTTCAGGTCTCTCCAGAGATGTTCGATCGGCCTCTGGCTGGGCCACTCAAGGACATTCAGAGACTTTGTCCCGAAGCCACTCCTACGTTGTCTTGGCTGTGTGCATAGGGTCGTTGTCCTGTTGGAAGGTAAACTTTTAGCCCCAGTCTGAGGTCCTGAGCACTCTGGAGAGGTTTTTATCAACGCCCCTCTCCGTACTTTGCTTCGTTAATCTTTGCCTTTATCCTGACTAGTCGCCCCCAGTCCCCTGCCGCTGCTGAAAAAACATCCCCACAGCATTAATGCTGTCACCACCATGCTTCACCGTAGGGATGGTGCCAGGTTTCCTCCAGTCGTGACCAGTTGGCATTTCAGGCCAAATAATTCAATCTTGATTTTATCATGGTCTGAGTGTCTTTAGGTGCCTTTTTGCAAAACTCCAAGCTGGCTGTCATGTGCCTTTTGCTTGAGGAGTGGGACTCTACCATAAAGGCCGGATTGGTGGAGTGCTGCCAGAGATGGTTGTCCTTCTGGAAGGGTTCTCCCCATCTCCACAGAGGAACTCTAGAGCTCTGTCAAGAGTGACCATCGGGTTCTTGGTCAACCTCCATGACCAAGGCCCTCTCCCCTGATTGCTCAGTTTGGCCAGGCGTTCAGCTCTAGGAAGAGTCTTGGTGGTTCCAAACATCTTCCATTTAAGAATGATGGAGGCCTCTGTGTTCTTGGTGACCTTCAATGCTGCAGAAATTTGCCTCGACACAATCCTGTCTCGGAGGTCTACGGACAATTTTGTTCGACCTCATGGCTTGGTTTTTGCTTTTGCTCTGACAGGCACTGTCAAACTATGGGACCTTATATAGACAAGGTGTGTGCCTTTCCATATCATGTCCTATCAATGGAATTACCACAGGTGGACTCCAGTCAAGTTGTAGAAAACATCTCAAGGATGATCAATAGAAACAGGATGCACCTGAGCTCAATTTCGAGTCTCATAGCGAAGGATTTGAATACTTAGATATTTCTGTTTAATAAATGTGCAAACATTTTCTAAACACCTGTTTTCGCTTTGTCATTATGTGGTATTGTGTGTAGATTGCTGATGAATGTTTTGTATTTAATCCATTTTAGAATAAGGCTTTAATGTAACACCAATGTGGAAAAAGTAAAGGGGCCTGAATACTTTCCGAATGCACTGTATGTTTCACTTGTGCTTGCTTCTCATGCATATTAAGTTTTAGTACAGGTCTGGTGTGGTTTGTATCACTTGTGGTTCATCGAGCACAATATTACACAGCTGTGTCTTCAGTCTGCAGACCTTGTCCTGTTAAAGTTACTGTGCTTGCTGGAAGTGTTTCTGAAGATACTGAACTTGTTTTTCAGTTTATCACTGTAATATGTGCTACCATCGTGACAAATTAATCCAATCCACTCCAATGCTTTTCCCAAACAATGACATTTACCATAACTATTCAGACCCAAGGCTAGGCCTTGCCTTGTCATGGAGGTGGGTCTTTATGAGGGACTGAAAGACGGTGATGGAGGAGGAAGGGAGTTCCAGAGCCTACTACCAACCTGTTTAAGCCCCCTGCCGCTGAAGCTATGGCACTTGGACCTGGGGATGACAAGGTGGCCAGCTGTGGTGAAAAGAGTAACTCAGCATTACTAATTAGCGGGCTTTTGAAAATAATAATACTTTATATTATTTGTGTATTTTTATCCCCCCCAATGGAGGAGAGATCACAGGATTGCAGTGTCGGCCAGCAGCAGCAGAGATGCAGGGAAAATGGTTTATGTTGTATTTGGATTTATTATGGATCTATGGATCTCCATTGGCGTCTGCCAAGGCAGCAAGCTTACTCTTCCGGGGTCCAGACACATTTAGGCACTTACTTAACAAAAACAATGAACAAACCCAAAAAATAAAATAAAGCAGTACATCATAAACATCAGACATCACTACATATCTACAACACAAACATGTATTATACCCACCATACAACAATATTACAATGTGTGTGTGTTAGAGGGTGTGTGCAAGGTTTGTTGTGAGTATTTGGTGTGTTTGCGTCTCTTAACAGTCACATGTTGTTCCATAAAGTGTTAGTTTTATCTGGGGGTTTTTTATCTGATTTTACTGCTTGCAATGAGTTACTTGATGTGGGATAGCGTTCCATGTAGTCATGGCTCTATGTAGTTCTGTGCGTTCCCAGAGTCTGTTCTGGACTACTATTACTATTACTATTGTCTATTACTATTACTATAACCCTGGCGTTGCAAATGCCATGCTCTACCAACTGAACTAGATCCCTGCTGGCCATTCCCTCCCCTACCCTGGGCCAATTGTGCGCCGCCCCATGGGTCTCCCGGTCGCAGCCAGCTACGACAGAGCCTGGATTCAAACCAGGATCATTGCCTAGTGGCACAGCTAGCACTGCGATGCAGTGCATTAGACCACTGCGCCATTCGGGAGGTGATGGTTGATAAGCCTTAAACTATTATATAGAAAGAAGTTAACTAAATATCGTCTTCCTTTTATATAATGATTACATAATTGTTTAGATATTTGATGGAGTATGTTTGAGTATGTTTTGATGGACCAAGAGTGCAGTACAAATGAACATGGATCGTACTGCAGCACATCATTTCAGTTATTGTATATACCAAAACGTACACAAGCCATTCTGAGAGTTTTTTTTATCATGGGACTAGAGGTTTTAGGTACAGGTCTGATGCTGATTTGTATCACTGTGGTCGTCGAGCACAATAATACACAGCTGTGTCTTCAGTCTGTTAGGTTCTGTCCTGTTAGAATTGAAATACTGCTGGATGTGTCTCTTCTAAAGCTGAACTTGTTTTTTAGTGCATCCTTTTGGTGAAAACTACCACCACCCCAAATATGAAAAATCCATTCCATTGGTTTCCCTGCAGGCTGTCGGATCCAGGCTGTCGCGTAGCTGTTGTCTGTAAGAGAATACCCAGAGATCGCACAACTGATAGACAAAGACTCTCCAGGCTTTACACCCAATGAGTTTGGCTGGGTGAGTTCAACACTACAGTGCACACCTGTAAAAAAAAAAAATAGTATACATCAGTAATACTTGTTTGGACTATTGATAGAATTGCTTCTATAATAAATATTATTATTATCTTTGCCATCATGTCATTCCATCCCCACATCCAGAATAACTTACAGGAAGCAGCTGCCAGCAGCAGCAGTAGAGATGCAGGGAACATGGTTTGTTTTGAAGCTGAACTAGTGGGAACTGCTTTTTCAGCAACTGAGTGAAAGACAGACGGACACTTCTCTTTATATACAGACAGGAGAGTTGCTTTGCATAGAGTGAGAGAGTTGGCATGAAAGGGGGAGATAAATAAATGACTTGTATCACTGTGCATGCTTATTGGAATTGTTGTTGTTTTTTGGAACAGAATGAGAACAGCAGAATGTAACTATTGGCTTTCCCCATGAGGCATACAGTATACTGTACTTGGTTCATTACAATATTTACTTTACATTAATAACCCTTATATGCTACCCAAAAGTGTAATGTTAATTATGTTTGCTGATGTAATACCTCTGAATTGCATATATTTTAAATATGATTTCATGCAAATAAGCTAAGCTAATTGAAATACATTACAAAATAAATGGTTTGAGCTGCTTGACATTGATGATACTTTTACTGAATGACCACATTTCTAATTGATACTGTTGGTTATTTGCCAATGTTAACTAACTTTGAATGGCTTTACAGTTTTCAGTGAACGTTTCATGAGGATATTCATACAGTTATCTTACAAAAGATGACAGGTATGTTTTATGCTTTTCAACTAATTATGGATATTTGAGTTATAATTTAGAGTTTGATGTGTCTAGGCTATTCTTTCCCAGTGTTGGTGGGGCCATGGGATTGATGTTGACAGAGACTGGAGCAAAGATTTGTCTCAGAGTCTGACAATCAACCTCAAAGGGTTCTTCGGCTGTCCCCATAGGATAACCCTTTGAAAACCCCTTTTTGGTTCCAGGTAGAACCCTTTTGGGTTCCATGTAAAAACCCTTGCCACAAAGGGTTCTATATGTATTATGATGAGTTTCTCGGGTATCAAAGAATCAAGGATGCAAGGATATACTTAGACACTTTGTAGACAGTTAATGCAAATGTTTAATGATCGGTACCGGGTTCGTTACAACAATGACCAGAGCTTTGCCCTTGGTGTTACGAACTAACTTGAACAACTCTCTACCTTATATACCTTCTGTTACCCTCTTCTTGGCATACATCTGGTAAGTCTCCATGGGCACTCCCTGTCTTTGATGTTCATCACCCTTACCCCAAGTCAGTATCCTGTCCATCAATCATGCTATCCTAAACATCAGTAATCTCCTTTGACATAATGGAATGTAGACTTTCTGTCTCATAACCACTTATCTAGTAACTCTAACCTGTTCCCCACGATACTATGACATGACATCATTACACCAAAAAAACATTGTATCAATATGGAAACCCAAAAGAGTTCTACCTGGAACCAAAAAGGGTTATCCAACGGGGACAGCCAAAGAACCCTTTTGGAACAATTTTTTTCTATGAGTGTAAGAGAAGTGCTTGATCAGCCTCCCGTGTCACTGTGTCTTGACGTGCATTAATAATAAACAGCATCTGGAGATACACCTGCTGCTTGCTATTGTCTCTGGAGATGGTGAACTGACCCTGAACTGACTAGGGGTAGTAGAACTACTACCACTGCTAATATAGGAAACCCACTTCAGTCCTTTCCCAGGAGCCTGTCTGATCCAAGCATTCCAATAGCTGCTACTAAACCCAGCATATGTGCAAGTCAGTTTGTGGGATTTTTCAAGCTTTTTAACCACTGATTCAGACTCAGTCAGTGTCTCACCCTGAACACCTGTGGAAATGAAATGACAAAAAGACACTCACACACATAATCAGCGACGTCTTTGTAGCAGTTGATTTCTGAAAAATCCCTGAAAATTATGGTACATTTGTTCTAGTGGACACAGAATATTGTCACGTACTTATTACAGAGTACTAAACTATGTTCGGTGCTAGTCAGGTTAGTGCAGGGCTTGCTGTAATGTCAGTCCAAGCTGCCTAGACTGAGAAGGCCAGAGCTGAGTGTCAGACTATAAAGCGATGAAGTGGAGGGAGACCTTAGACTTCCCTCTAGAGGTTTAAATAGAGACTGAGAGATCTTCCTTGATTATCTCTCCTTTATTATTCTCTTCATATTTTTCAGACTAGATATGTTTTTTTTATTTTATACAATGTTGAACAGCACAGAAACAAGCACATTTCCCTATGTGGGACAATACAATTAGTATTGAATTATATGTATCTCTTACTGCTTATCCCCTCTTGGGAATCTATTGTGGAGTTCCCCAGGGATCTATAATTGATCCATTACTGTTTTTAGTTTGAGTATATTTCTGTTTGCTGAAATATCAAAAAAATAAAGGGAACACTTAAACAACACAATGTAACTCCAAGTCAATCACACTTCTGTGAAATCAAACTGTCCACTTAGGAAGCAACACTGATTGACAATACATTTCACATGCTGTTGTGCAAATGGAATAGACAACAGGTGGAAATTATAGGCAATTAGCAAGACACCCCCAATAAAGGACTGGTTTTGCAGGTGGTGACCACAGACCACTTCTCAGTTCCTATGCTTCCTGGCTGATGTTTTGGTCACTTTTGAATGCTGGCGGTGCTTTCACTCTAGTGGTAGCATGAGACGGAGTCTACATCCCGCACAAGTGGCTCAGGTAGTGCAGCTCATCCAGAATGGCACATCAATGCGAGCTGTGGCAAGAAGGTTTGCTGTGTCTGTCAGCGTAGTGTCCAGAGCATGGAGGCGCTACCAGGAGACAGGCCAGTACACCAGGAGACGTCGAGGAGGCCGTAGGAGGGCACAACCCAGCAGCAGGACTGCTACCTCCGCCTTTGTGCAAGGAGGAGCAGGAGGAGCACTGCCAGAGCCCTGCAAAAATGACCTCCAGCAGGCCACATATGTGCATGTGTCTGCTCAAACGGTCAGAAACAGACTCCATGAGAGTGGTATGAGGGCCCGACGTCCACAGGTGGGGGTTGTGCTTACAGCCCAACACCGTGCAGGACGTTTGGCATTTGCCAGAGAACACCAAGATTGGCAAATTCGCCACTGGCGCCCTGTGCTCTTCACAGATGAAAGCAGGTTCACACTGAGCACGTGACAGATGTGACAGAGTCTGGAGACGCCGTGGAGAACGTTCTGCTGCCTGCAACATCCTCCAGCATGACCGGTTTGGCGGTGGGTCAGTCATGGTGTGGGGTGGCATTTCTTTGGGGGGCCGCACAGCCCTCCATGTGCTCGCCAGAGGTAGCCTGACTGCCATTAGGTACCGAGATGAGATCCTCAGACCCCTTGTGAGACCATATGCTGGTGCGGTTGGCCCTGGGTTCCTCCTAATGCAAGACAATGCTAGACCTCATGTGGCTGGAGTGTGTCAGCAGTTCCTGCAAGAGGAAGGCATTGATGCTATGGACTGGCCCGCCCGTTCCCCAGACCTGAATCCAATTGAGCACATCTGGGACATCATGTCTCGCTCCATCCACCAATGCCACGTT